AATAAACGCACCCCGCAAATGCCTAGCAACGACCAGTAAAAGTGCGCGGGGGAAGCACCGCGGGACTGAGGAAAACTACTCGTGATAACTCCCAATAATGGAGACCAGTTGTTGAATGGTGCCCGTAATCCGTTTCAACCTACAACCTCAAGAAAAACCTCAAGGCATGGTGGGTAGATTAAAACATTCATCGGCTGTTTTAGTTAACCTTACCAGAGATCCAGACAAATCGCCCGCATGTGTCACTCAGTAATCTATTTTTCGGCAATGATGGTAGCCCAACTAAAGCCAGCATTTTAATCTCTTTAGGGACCTATTATGAAACGGAGCAAAGAAGAAGCTATTCAACGAAAAGCGTCGACCGCCATCCACGTCCCAAAAAGCAGAAAAGCGAGTGGGATTGGCTAGATGCAGAATAGATCGAAATTCAGCATACAGGCATGTCTATCCTAGCGCATATACCGAACCATCTAGCGAAACCTACAAGGGTGGAATGGGTGATCGTCATGCTGTTGTTCGTCCAAAGGATCAAATCGAGAGAAGTCGAGATGCTGTGGATACAAATACAGTGCATAGGCAAGTAGAAGAGAATCTTCAATCGAAAGAGAATTATAGAGATGCTTTCCAAGGAGGTGCTGGTGATCGACATGCTGTTGTTCGTCCAAAGGATCAATTGGAATGGAGTCGAGATGCTGTGGATACAAATACAGTGCATAGGCAAGTAGAAGAGAATCTTCAATCGAAAGAGAATTATAGAGATGCTTTCCAAGGAGGTGCTGGTGATCGACATGCTGTTGTTCGTCCAAAGGATCAATTGGAATGGAGTCGAGATGCTGTGGATACAAATACAGTGCATAGGCAAGTAGAAGAGAATCTTCAAACGAAAGAGAATTATAGAGATGCTTTCCAAGGAGGTGCTGGTGATCGACATGCTGTTGTTCGTCCAAAGGATCAAATCGAAAGAAGTCGAGATGCTGTGGATACAAATACAGTGCATAGGCAAGTAGAAGAGAATCTTCAAACGAAAGAGAATTATAGAGATGCTTTCCAAGGAGGTGCTGGTGATCGACATGCTGTTGTTCGTCCAAAGGATCAAATCGAAAGAAGTCGAGATGCTGTGGATACAAATACAGTGCATAGGCAAGTAGAAGAGAATCTTCAAACGAAAGAGAATTATAGAGATGCTTTCCAAGGAGGTGCTGGTGATCGACATGCTGTTGTTCGTCCAAAGGATCAATTGGAATGGAGTCGAGATGCTGTGGATACAAATACAGTGCATAGGCAAGTAGAAGAGAATCTTCAAACGAAAGAGAATTATAGAGATGCTTTCCAAGGAGGTGCTGGTGATCGACATGCTGTTGTTCGTCCAAAGGATCAATTGGAATGGAGTCGAGATGCTGTGGATACAAATACAGTGCATAGGCAAGTAGAAGAGAATCTTCAATCGAAAGAGAATTATAGAGATGCTTTCCAAGGAGGTGCTGGTGATCGACATGCTGTTGTTCGTCCAAAGGATCAATTGGAATGGAGTCGAGATGCTGTGGATACAAATACAGTGCATAGGCAAGTAGAAGAGAATTTCTTCAAACGAAAGAGAATTATAGAGATGCTTTCCAAGGAGGTGCTGGTGATCGACATGCTGTTGTTCGTCCAAAGGATCAATTGGAATGGAGTCGAGATGCTGTGGATACAAATACAGTGCATAGGCAAGTAGAAGAGAATTATTCTTAAATCGAAAGAGAATTATAGAGATGCTTTCCAAGGAGGTGCTGGTGATCGACATGCTGTTGTTCGTCCAAAGGATCAATTGGAATGGAGTCGAGATGCTGTGGATACAAATACAGTGCATAGGCAAGTAGAAGAGAATATATCTTCAATCGAAAGAGAATTATAGAGATGCTTTCCAAGGAGGTGCTGGTGATCGACATGCTGTTGTTCGTCCAAAGGATCAATTGGAATGGAGTCGAGATGCTGTGGATACAAATACAGTGCATAGGCAAGTAGAAGAGAATTATTCTTAAATCGAAAGAGAATTATAGAGATGCTTTCCAAGGAGGTGCTGGTGATCGACATGCTGTTGTTCGTCCAAAGGATCAATTGGAATGGAGTCGAGATGCTGTGGATACAAATACAGTGCATAGGCAAGTAGAAGAGAATTCTTCAAACGAAAGAGAATTATAGAGATGCTTTCCAAGGAGGTGCTGGTGATCGACATGCTGTTGTTCGTCCAAAGGATCAATTGGAATGGAGTCGAGATGCTGTGGATACAAATACAGTGCATAGGCAAGTAGAAGAGAATTATTCTTAAATCGAAAGAGAATTATAGAGATGCTTTCCAAGGAGGTGCTGGTGATCGACATGCTGTTGTTCGTCCAAAGGATCAATTGGAATGGAGTCGAGATGCTGTGGATACAAATACAGTGCATAGGCAAGTAGAAGAGAATCTTCAAACGAAAGAGAATTATAGAGATGCTTTCCAAGGAGGTGCTGGTGATCGACATGCTGTTGTTCGTCCAAAGGATCAATTGGAATGGAGTCGAGATGCTGTGGATACAAATACAGTGCATAGGCAAGTAGAAGAGAATTATTCTTAAATCGAAAGAGAATTATAGAGATGCTTTCCAAGGAGGTGCTGGTGATCGACATGCTGTTGTTCGTCCAAAGGATCAATTGGAATGGAGTCGAGATGCTGTGGATACAAATACAGTGCATAGGCAAGTAGAAGAGATAATCTTCAATCGAAAGAGAATTATAGAGATGCTTTCCAAGGAGGTGCTGGTGATCGACATGCTGTTGTTCGTCCAAAGGATCAAATCGAAAGAAGTCGAGATGCTGTGGATACAAATACAGTGCATAGGCAAGTAGAAGAGAATATATCTTCAATCGAAAGAGAATTATAGAGATGCTTTCCAAGGAGGTGCTGGTGATCGACATGCTGTTGTTCGTCCAAAGGATCAATTGGAATGGAGTCGAGATGCTGTGGATACAAATACAGTGCATAGGCAAGTAGAAGAGAATCTTCAAACGAAAGAGAATTATAGAGATGCTTTCCAAGGAGGTGCTGGTGATCGACATGCTGTTGTTCGTCCAAAGGATCAAATCGAAAGAAGTCGAGATGCTGTGGATACAAATACAGTGCATAGGCAAGTAGAAGAGAATATATCTTCAATCGAAAGAGAATTATAGAGATGCTTTCCAAGGAGGTGCTGGTGATCGACATGCTGTTGTTCGTCCAAAGGATCAATTGGAATGGAGTCGAGATGCTGTGGATACAAATACAGTGCATAGGCAAGTAGAAGAGAATTATTCTTAAATCGAAAGAGAATTATAGAGATGCTTTCCAAGGAGGTGCTGGTGATCGACATGCTGTTGTTCGTCCAAAGGATCAAATTGGAATGAAGTCGAGATGCTGTGGATACAAATACAGTGCATAGGTACTGTGTTTCTTGCTGAAAGAAAAGCTATGTCCTAGAATTACCTACAAGAGTCCTGAAAAGGAATGCCCCGCGGTGGAAGCCTTAAAAGGGCTTCGTGAGGATGCTTCCTACTATCGCCTCCGCCGGAACGGTCATATTTTGATGGATAAGTGATCTGTTTTTAATGAAGGGTGACCCGTACTGACCTCCTAATGTGCAAATATTTATTCTCCCTCGCGGACACACTAACCCCCTTCCTGGCCATATCGTGTTGCTATCGGGCGTTGTTCTCTTTCTGTTAAGTCTTTCTGGCCTACTTTTGCATTGGTGGATAAAGCCTTACGATGTTTTGGTGTTATTACGTGGCACACCATTTTGCTTGAGGGCCTTGGATACCGCAGAAAGGTTCCCGATTTTCGGATTTATGAATGACCTTCTTTTCATGGGTTTTTTCGGGATTCCGCTGATTTGCATCTGGGAGTGCGGCGAGTGGCTGGGGGCGACATGCGCGAACCATTTGCGCGCACCCGTCGGCTGACGCCCATTAATTGCGATTTACACAAGGCTAAAGGGCGGGCTGGTTCGAATCCTTGCCCTGCCACTGGACCCATTAGCCCAGAGAGCCGAGGGGAACAGGTTGGACGGAGTGTCCAGATTCAACCGCCCACCCCCCGCCCTTCCCCAACCCTTGTTTTGGCGTTAATTGGCGGGCCCTGACCTGTGGGTCAATTGGATTTTGGTGGTAGAGGTGGCGCCAGTGCCACGACTCGTGCCAGCTGCCACCCTCACCCTAAGCCATTCGGCATTATACCCAGTATTCTTTGGTACTATTACCTATCCTGCAAGCTGATAATTTGGGCTGTTAGGAACTGTGCCAAAATTTAGCATGAAAAAGTCTATTTCGGTGTTGGATTAGCCAGGGCGAGGACCGGTTGCCGTTTACAATTAGGGGCCTGGTTGAGGGATGACCCCGTTTCACCCTTCTGAGGGAACGAGCCATCCACTACTGCCTTTCGATTTCCTCACCTCCCTTCACTTTTCCGGTCGTCATTGGCTGAAATCAGGGCTGGGATAGATGTAGCGCTGCTCACTGTCTGTTTCTTATTGCCTATTTTGAAGGTTGTTTTGCTTAACTTTTTTCGTTTTACCCTACCTTTTTGCCGTATCACTTGTGAAGCTTGTGTGGGTGTTCGAATTTCATAATCCAAAATTTCAATGATTTCGTATACTAAAAACCCGAAATTTCACAGGCTGCCGTAGGCGTGGGATATCCCCCGGCTCTTATAGTGTTTTTAGCATATGGACCTTACAAGGTTTTGAAAATTCGATATTATGCCTTCCGAGGTGCGCCTAGTATTAGGGTTCTCCATAATGAGTCTATAAATTCAGAACACACAATCAAATTGTTGGAGCTTGCTAAAAAACCATCCCCTTGATTGAGTTGTCACAAAAGAAAATTTGCAATAATGGCTCCCCTAACTGCCTATCAACATGCTATTGTTGGGTGTGGATGGTAGTGGAGGTTAGATATTGAGCGCATAGGGATGTGGGTCATCCCTCATAGTTCCCCGTTTTTCCGCCAGAATGACCGAGACGCCCCGCCGTGACACCGTCAACCCATATTCCCCCATCATAACTGTATCCTGTCCACGACTTTCGCATATACACTTTTTATCAGATGTAATAACAGTCAATTATGCTCTAGTTGTTATTTATTGCCAGCGGCAGGCTTGGGGTAAACGTGAGGATCAGACTGGTTTGGCCACTCATCTGGTCCATCCATATGGTCGGGGAGACGGAGGCCCGAAAAGGCGGCCGATACCCTATTGAAAAACAGACTGACACACATAAGGCCAACCTTGCGCCGACTGGCGCATAAGCTAGAGGCTTTGCAACAAATTATGGGTTTGCAACAACTTATGGGCAAACAGAGCTCCCTCGTCTGACATCTCTATATAGCTTTTTCCAGCAGCTTCACAAAAGATAGTTTCTTTAAAGATAGTTTTTGCGCTTTATCTGCTATTTCTACCCCAAAAAAACCTTTACCTGCCTCCAGACCCGCTTCGCGTGCCTTGGACTCTGGAATTGCCTGACAGTAAAGTGTTTTTGGTCAGGATGGAAATTGCGTATAGGACCAAGTCTATCTAGTGCAGACTTTTCAATGATTCCGAATCCGTGTTCAAAAATTGCAGAATAGTCCTGTTCTAAAAGTTGCAGTTAGCAGTTGTAAGTATCAAAATTTTAAAAGCCGAGGCGCTTTCCGATTTTTCGTACCATGGAAATTACCCCCAGCTTAGTAAAGTAGATTTTATCAAAATTCTGTGCCAGCTATCCAAAAGAGCACCGCCGATTATCTCAAGTGACGGAGAATTAGGACATTTTAAGCACTTTTAGGTACTTGAAATTACAGATACACACCTGACGCTCCAGAATTATATCAAGCGGGATTCGGAGCCGATCCTCTGGACATTCCATCCTTCATTCGTTCTGTGCTCATTCATTGCGGGTCTCTTGCTCGCGAGATAACTTTACCCTAGATGCGAGGTGATGGATGCCGAATTCACATAGCATTTCTCTTGCTGGTATGGAGAATAGGGGGAGGTAAGCAGCATTTGCAAACCCCAAACTTTGGCACGTCACATTTCACTACCAAACTTGGATGGATCGGGTACCCGGCCCGGATCGGATCGGATTAATTCGCCCGATCCAGGTCCGCCGGATCGGCATCGGGGCCCCTCCTTTATAGCCAATTCCCATACAAACAAGATTTTTACGGCTCTATGCCAATATTTGCATACATTTGCCTGTTATCAGGAAGTAAAATTTCAGTAACATCTACTTTTCGGATTTGCGTAAAAAACCGATACTTCTGGATCTGTCCGGATCGGATCTGATCGGATCCGGATTGGCTTGCAAATTAGTCCGATCCGATACGATCCGATCCGGATTACCCGATACCAACCAAGCCTGGTCACCACCCAGTACAATCCTGATTATTTTAGCATGCATCCACCGATCCTTCCGAATCGAGTCGTCTACCGTAATCTCTGGCAAGGTGTTGGCCGTTTTTCCATCAGACAGTCTGCATACGTGTCTACACAACTGTTCGCAGGTCGGTCTAAGAATGAGCACTAAGATTTTACGTGGTCGAACCCTTGCAGAAGCCAGAATGCCGTGCTGCCAACTACGTAATGAGCACCGGCGAAGAACCACATTGCCTTCTAGTGGATACCCGCCATCCTGGAAATGCTTCTCAATTACCCGTCGAGCAGCATGGCCTCTACGCAGCAACACGCTTTTGCGTCCAAGGTCAGCAGAACCCTCAAATTCGCAAAAATTTAGGAAAAAGATGATTTTCTATACATATATTCAGAGGCTTTTGCTACGCGTTGCCCCGGACGTCATTGGTCCTTTGAGCGTTTCGCAAACCGACGTCTTTTGGACTCTAGATTCTCTCTGGAACTGCGTGAAATCGCAACTTTGGAGGAATGTTTGGAGGAGTGTGTCGTGCAGTAAGCGATTCACATCAGGCAACGATTCTCACGAATTTAGCGGGCATTGTCTGGCAGTGTTGTGGCAAGATTCGAAGCACATTTGTGAGCTAGCTTCCATATCACTGCAGGTACGGTTGACCAAACGTAAAATTAGTTTTCCGTAAGGGAATCAAGAGGGCCTAGTCGATCAGCACAAAACCGGTTATATCATGAATTAGATTGGCACAATTCCTTCTTGAATAGGCCCACTCTAGGCGTTTGCGCAGCGTTTCCGGGTATTTTTGCTAGTGGTAGAAGCAGCCGTATTCAGACATGCCTTACTTTAAACTTTAACCAGGTTTTTCAACAGACACCTTAAAGAAACATTCACCTCCCAATTTTATAAAATCTGTCCACGCTATAGCAGGCTGGGTTTCTTTCTTAACCCTGCCTGCTATAGCGTGGACAGATTTTATCAAATTGGGATGCGAATGTTTTAAAGCTGGCCAGTGTCCCTCACAGGACGTCGAATACCAAAAAGTTACAGGCGGTGCACAATCCACGTCAATTCTTTGCCTACGACAAAGAGACGGATTTGTATGAGAGCAACTGCGCTCATGGTATGCTATGGGAACCCAAAGTTTATATCCTAGGATTCAGGTGCTTCTTCGGCTCCATCATGTTCATTTCTCAACCTACCCGGCGCTGGAATCATAGACCACTTTGATGAGCGCATCGGCAACGTACCGAATGCCGACTCGTGTGAAAATATTTGTCTCGATGTAGGTTTCGCCGTTTCAAAAGACCTCATGACAGAACGTTGATGCTCCACCAATTTTTTAGAAAGGGGATGATTGGGGCATCTGTCGAATGTACACTTTTGACTCACGACATCACACCTGTTATTTGTCGCATTCGGCATCTAGGGCTCTGGGAAGGAGTCCCCTTGAGGATGGGCATCGACCGTATCTCGCTACTGGAGAGCTGGACGACTGCGTTCAATGTAAATTTTAGGGCTCCAGCTTGGCTGATGATGACGAATCAAAAACAAACTGTTTAGTGAGCATCAAATGTAAACCAGAGTCACTGGAACTGCATTCCGAATCACTGAAACTATTTGGTGGCGAGCTGAAGACGAAAAAAGCTAGTGAAGTGATGTGCCAACGCAGCATCAGTCCGAACTATGCCTTCCAGCTAGAATTGCCGTATCAAAAGTAAGACCACTTTGAGAGCAGCCAACCCACCCAATCCAACAGATGCGGCATCGAGAAGCAGACCACGGATGGTTCATCATTCGGTGGTACGCTATATTTGAAGGAGGGAAGTACACAGCTAGTTACAATCCGCGATAAAGTTATTAAGGTTGGTGTTTGTAAGCAAATGTTAACGATAGAACACTTGTAGGTGAATTGCCGGATCCACACCCAAATGGAGCCTATGCGAGACCAGACAGTCGCCGTTCACATGCACGTATCAGCTGGAAACGACACGCGATTGTTGGTTCAATGCAGAATTATTCATGGATGTTTAGGAGAAACGGTCTGATAGTTCCAACCGGCCCCTTGAGGTATCAGGGGATAATGGCGCATCCCAACTCCCCATACAGGTAATTGGCATGTGTAATAGCATTTTCACTATTAAGCGACGCCTCTATATCTGCCGTTGCTCACAAAGGTTGTCAAGCCAATTTCAGGCTGAATTTTACGAGATCGGGTCCAACAAAGATCGGCCAGCTTGTGATCGAGATGGGTGATCCAGAAGGTGGCGAGTTCACGGTTCGGAATGTCGTAGCTCTGCTTGGTCCGTCCGGCCCCACCCAAAAACCTCATCTCCTCATTGATGGTGAAGGGTTGGTGATTAAGTATTGTTAGAAGCTTGTAGCGTATTTCTAAACTTTTAAAACAAACATTAATCAATCAACCGCATCCCAATTTTAGTTGCGTTGTTGACCGTGCAGCCGTGAGGCAAATTTCGCGGCAGATTCCCGGTCAGCTCATAATCGACATCGATCTGACCGCGTTCGGAGAAGCGGTGAGCCTGAAAGTCAAGACAAAGACTCCAGTTCGCATTCAGACAGAGGTCGTCTATCAAAGTCTAATCGAACCCTGCTCCTACAACTGCATGCCCTCGTGTAACCACGAACTACTCAAAGACTTTTTGTAAGAACTCTTACATCAAATATTGCTCACTTCAGGCCGGCTAAAACGATGCGCCGCCGACGTTCGCTGCCCGCTGGCCGGGCTCTAGAAATATCGCAAGATGTCTATAAGGTTCTTACAAGAAGAAATTCAAATCACATTACATGTATATTTCAGATTAGCGGCGGCCGCACGAAACTCATGGCATTGGAGCCGCCTAACGGGTCCGGGGAAGTAGAGGTTGAAGAGGTAAGCGCAGCGATTAATTGCTATCCAGTTGCTCCTTTCAGGTATGGTCCGCCGCATTGGCCAAGAAGATCTGTCACGGCACCTACTCGGAGTTGCATTGTGTGGCTTCGTTGCTTGTCATCTTTTTGTTCCTCTCGCTTGCTATTGTATCCGTATCAATTGCGTGTTACTACGGAAAGGTAAACTATATTCTAGCCGCCCTAAGTCTAAATCCTTTTAAGCAATACCGCCGCCATCAGCAGCTCATTAGGCCGCCGATTGGACGTGTTGAATACGAATTTCGTGAAGAGTCGATACAAAAGTAACCGGCGGTTTCTCGTACGTCCTTCTCTCGCGCTCTTTCTCTCTATCGATTACTTATCATCTGTTCCAAAAACAGTTTCTTAGAAAAATCGCCTGTTTGACCTTTTCGAAAACTTGCAAGTCGAATTACCTAGACTTTTCGAACATACCACTTTTCGACAGATTCTCGAATAGATGATCGGCTACCTCTCTCTCTCTCTCTCTCTCTCTCTCTCTCTCTCTCTCTCTCTCTCTCTCTCTGCCTTTATCTGGTTCACTCTTCATTCCCACTCTCTCGAAGAACGGTGCCATCCACTTAATGCCTAGCACAAGCTCACTTAACATTGTTCTCCGTTTATTGGCTTACTAAAGCAGCAAGACCATTACGGGTATGTAGCTATTTTGTTGCTCGTTATAAGGATAAATAAGAAACTCGACAATGCAATTTCACTTTATTGTCAAAGAGATAGGTCGGAGGAAGAATCGAGGAAAGAATTCGTGCACGAGGCACATGCGGGCAATTACTAGTATGCCTTGAGGTAGAAGTCGTAAAGTAGCGCGCTCTGCATATTACCGATGTTCAGCGTGCACAGTCTCGACAAAAACAGATTATCTTGCATGGCGAGGAACTGGAAATACGTTAATAATGCCGTATGTTCAAGTCTAAATAAGTCGTTATAAGATTGGAAACGAGATTACGAAAAGGCATTGCCCAGGTGTATTTACCAATAACCTACAACAAAATGCCGCTGCAATGAAATAATCCGGTAAACACGAAGCTGTCGATCCGTTTCGCAGAGCAACGGATTCCCCTTTGCCACGCAGTCAATTAATGCCTAAATGAATATTTTTGTTTCGTTCATGGCGCCAGCCCACCTGTTCGTAACGGCTTCGAGCTTTACGAATTTGCGTTGACGCTGCATCCGACAGTCGACACGCTAAAAATGTATCAGACATCGCGAGAAAATAATTACTCGGCGTAAAGAAAACGACGGCCTTGAGGAGGATATATTCATCGTGGGTCAGCTGCAGCGTCCTCAACTCCGGAAATACCTCCTGGTGCACATACCGAGACACGATTTGGCAAAATGCGTCGATACTGCAAAAGACGTTCAAAAGCGGAAGAAGAAAATCGGAGCTGCGAAGCGTAAGAAGCGATGCTTACTCGTTGGTGGGTACACGATTCGAGTCATAGTAATGGGCACCGCCGGGAAATACAATACCCGGACTTCGCGCCGTCCAGGAGTGGTACACCAGCACCACCAACTCGCTCACACACATCTGCGAAGTCACCAATCCCATCTACGATAATGCATCATTTTGTTTCAAGAGTATATTTCAAGAGAACCGACAAGTGTAGCAAGCGATAGTAGATTTCCTCACAAAAGCTTGCAAAGCCCGTTCGATACCTTATCTTTCTCCGGGAGCCAACGAATTTCCGCTAGGCCCGCCACCCAGTCAAGGTAGTGAAGCGCATAACGCGCAAAAAGGGCTCGAAATGACTTTAATATCGATGGCATTACTTCTGTACGACTCGTGAATGCGGCCTAAAATTAGGATAGCCAAATAACAAAAGCAATTACTTACTGGGGTACGCTGACATAAGGCCAGCGGGTTCTTCATTGCTACTTCCAGTGGGACATCCAGATTGACATATTTTGAGGGGCCCGTTGGTGAATCAGATACGTCGCAGTACCTACATAGAAATTAACTTGATTTCTGGCTGAAGTGCTTTTCTCGATACCGCTCAAGCATTCGAAGACGGGAAAGCATTGATCCTAAGCCATCCCATGCGGTACTGATGGGAAACTCGTCCACACCGTCGTATGGAAACAGGCTGAAGCCAAGAGCCGTAGGAGCCTGAAACGTAGAGGGTTGCTTGTCATAACTACTGCAAGTCGAAAGCATGAAAACCCACAGTATGCAAATAATAAGCATCGTCAAAATAAGGAACTACAGCCACTAAAGAATCCTGGCTGCTTGGCGGCGTCAATTCCACACTTGAGCAACAAGGAACGAGCGCAAGAGAATAGTCAGGGCTATCGAGCCTTCGAGGCTCCTCATCGGAAACGTTTGTACTTTCCTGTGGAGCTTTGTATTAACGTCAAGCCAAATTCTCTTTACCTGGATGCGAGCCGACTTTGGAATTTTTGCATCATCTGGGGAACCCGGCGATTTAGAACATCTCTGGGCCTCATCTTCATTTCCTGCGTGGGCTCGAGCCGCCCGTTGTCCCCTCACTACGCCAACGGCTAAGATATTTGTTACCATACTTCTTAAGGCTTAATTAATTGCCCACCAGCTGGTCGCATGTTCGCCTCCAAACAACTCCGATAACGGCATGCCCGACATTTTAGCCACGACGGGGCATCCGCTAAAGGTGAGGAGTGCTGTTGGATGTTGAGGTCAAAGGTATACCTGAAGCTTTTTCACGGCAGGTGCCTTCGTTGCTGCATCGATAACGAGCCTTCCCCGTCACACTACGCAAGAAGAAAACTTTGCAGCCGCTGAAAGTAGCTATTCGATATTAATCCGAATTTTTTCTCCACCAGCAGACCAAACCACCATAGAAGAGTGACGTTCCTCTTGTTGAACCGCAGACTGTGCATGGCGAGTTCCGCATTTTGCCTATGGGAATCCTGAAGGTGACATTAAAGCGGCAGTATAAAATACCAACGGATATTCCGGGTAGAATGTGATCCAAAAATTTTCCGATGCAGGCGTAATAAAAAGCAGTGCAATAAAGGAGATCAATTCACACCGCGGCGAACCTTCGGAAAAAGATTGTGAAGTAGACAGAGAGAATGAGAGAGGGAGAGAGAGAGAAGAGCCGAGAGAGAGAGGAAGTGAGAGTGTGTGTATGGGTGTGAGAGAGAAACTGAGAGTCCGTTGTAACTCGCAGTGAAAACATGAACGGCAGAATGGGCATAAATTCATAACAGCTACCACCAGCGATACTAACCACAAAACAACATGCAAACACACATATACAGCAGAGCAAGGGTGTGAGAGAGATGAGAGGAAGAGAGAGAGAGAGGGAGAGAGAGAGAGAGGGAGATAGAGTGAGGGATAGAGAGAGGTTCCATGCAGTAACTGAATACGGCTGTAAAAATTTAGTCCAAAAGCGTTGCTAGGTTGAGTTTAGGCAACGGAGCTATCTGCGCGACGAATCGCCAGGTTGTCAGAACAAATGAACATTAGCCTCATGAGCTTCTCACGCGGGCTGGTGTTTCCCCGTGTTGAGAATCTGACTTTCTTATGTGAGGCGGCTACCAGCATCGCCTTTCAAACAAACGCAATAAGAAACGAGCGGCTTGGAAAGTTGACGAAAATAAGCTGTCGGCGAATGGATTTCGAAGCGAGCCTAGGGATAATCCGCGACTGTTTTCCCAGAAAATGAGGGGAGAGAAGGCCATGCGGTCTCTCTGGGCGGTACCATGACTACGGAAGGCAAGCCCTCAGAGACCATTAACAAATTTCCCGTCCCAATCTACAACTACAAAGTACAGCAAGAGCATTGGATGCGGGGAAGGGGAGTGCTATATCCGGTTGATGATGCCGTCGGATTAGGACGTCGATGATGATAGAATCGGAATGGCTGCCGTTCGGGACAATGTTCGAGTAGTTGGCCCGGAAGCCAGAGTTATTTTTGACATCTTTAAAGAGATTGACAAGGCACGACTATGGATATATTAACTCCGCGCGCTTAACGTTTCCGGGGCTTAGACTAACTAAGTCGCTCGGCAGCGGCAAAATCTACCTGGAAGCCTCTAACAGAAACAAGGCTTGTATCGTGTGCGTATGTATTTGTTTCCCTATTAAATGTGTTGAGTTGTCCCACCGAGATACGCTTAAGTGAACCGTTTATTGATGATGTAAATGGCAAACGCACGACATAGCTCGTTGGGGTGAAGAGTCGGGTTGACATGCAATGGTGGGTAGGAAATGAACGAGTACGATAAGATGAGAGGATCAAATTCCAGGATCTCAGCCGGTTATCACGACACCTAGCCTCACCCAGACCGAACCGAGCGCCAGTCTTCTAGGGATACAAAAGTTTGGCACGCTAAGTCCGTGAAAAATTTGTTGAATTCCGGGTGGAATGGATTCACACAAGAAATCATCCCGAGACAAGTTAGTGTCGACCGGCTGGCCTGTTTTCTTAAGAAGAACATTAACGCGATTTGGGAGAGCAGCAAAAAGTGAATGCACATTGTGGTGTATTATTTGGGGTGAGTAGAGGGAAGCACAGATCAGCTGTACACAGTATGCAATTTAAATGATTGGGACGGGAAATGGGGGTTCAAATGAGGGAATAAAGCACAAAGTGGCTTTTCGTGGCCGTTCTGAGCAGTTTTTTTGTAAGACTAATCAGAAGTGAGGGATTGGGTGTGGGGGAAGTGGGTAGGGATTGTTTGCGATATAACTGTCCAGTTAAACCGTTAAAATTTGCTTCAGCTTGTCCGGCCGCTAGGCTCGTTGAAAACGACTAAAAGGTTTGATTGTTCATTGCAACCGCAAAAAATACCATTAATGGGTGGGGACATTATGAAATTAGCGTATCGAAACGTTGGCTTTTGGGTGGGTAGTAAGGCATAAAATTGAGTGTATTCGGGCACGAAATGGGGAACAGGCAGCGAATGGGCGCTATAGTTTATTGGATCGATTGGTTTTTTTGGGGGCGGCTGCGGTACGTTTTTAGAGGGGCTTTCGGCACATAATGCAAGAAATAGAAGCCAGGTGGGCCAAGCCGCACCATGCTGAAACAAATGTTTTTCCCGGTTAAGAATTGTGGGGTAACCTGATTGGAAAGGGGTGAGGGGGAACGGGGTAATCAACGACAATAATAGCTTGAATATCTAGGTCAAAAAAATTTTGGAAAAGGGCGAGCAAGGGCTGCCGCGGATTTGGGGGGGGCTGTGCTGTAGGTTTTTTTTGGAAAACTGGAAAGTAGCGAATGGCTCAAAAAAGCTCAGGCCAATTTGGAGGCAACGTAGAATTTCAGAATGGTCTGCGGCGGTAGAGGACTAGGGGTCAGAGCGAGGGAGGGCGAAACGGGAAACACAAGAGTTTGGCCGGCTTGGCATGGGGCGTCAGGCACAAAGTGGCAATTCGCAAATAAACTTCCGTGCCAAATGTCCAATCCGGTCCATCAAACGCTAGCGAGGGACATCGCGGTCAAAGCATAAATATGTCACATACAGCGGGTGGGCAAGAGCATTGGCAACAAAATGAGGGACAGGAACAAGGGAAACCACACAAAACAGGTAATGTATGAAAGAACCGGTTAACCGGAGATAGGCGGCTGAGAGAGGACGGGGTAGGTTTACCGTGTATTTTTAGAGAAGTGTACTGTGCTGTGAATCAAGGTCCGCGCAGGCAGGTAGGGAAAATTTAGAAGCTACAATGAGTCTTGGTCATCTAGGCAGGGCTTTCTATCAAATAACCAGTGGGGAAGGGGAATTGCCAGTGACTTCAATTTGTATAATGGCTTAAGTCCAAACGAAACCCTAACGGTGATATTTTGATAGAATTCGATTAAACAGTTTAATTGTGCTAAAAAGCGGAACGACGGGTACCCGGTTTTTGCGCATGGGGGAGGAGTCAAATTGGTAAAAGCACAGAAAGTGATCACATTGTGGCTGGTGAGGCTGAGGTTTTTGGCGAACGGGGCTCTGGGAGGCTGTGGGCTGATTGAGTGACTAAAATTCGTGTTTTGAATAGACATGGGTTTGAATCGACGGGTTTCAAAGGGCCGGGGCCATAGTCACGCTGAGAACATAGACATCAACAAAGCAGAAGAAACAAAAGACACCGATCAAGTGAAATTCAATGGTGACCCATTAGAGCGGTGATGGGCGGGTAAGGCGACAAGTGGTGTGGGATTTGAAATTACAATCGATGTTTCGGGCAGAAGAATTGAGCGTTGACGGTCAGGTTGGGTGGCAGAAAATTTAACGGTTCGGAAATTCAGGTCTCTAGAAAGGTTCGGGGCAACAACCGACTGGCGAAAGTGCTTATGAAAACGTCTCTTCCCAAGAAGCATCACGAGACGAGAATTTCTGCCGTCATTATATTTGGTGCCCGTGTCATTTTGGGAGTTTTGATCACTGGACGGTTACGAGGACGAGGATTACAGGTAATATGCAAATATTAGTAAAAATTTGCCCGTTTCAGGGGGGCTGTTGTGAGGACTTGGACGAGTTGGGGGTTGCTTATGGATCATTTGGCTTTGGACGTGAATCACACGAATATGACAAGACAATGACGAATCTTCGATGAGGATTTGGAAGGGATGAAGCAATTATCTACAGCGAGAGGTTGGACATGGCGGCGATGTCGAAGCCGGGCCCGAATGGATCGTAGTAACTGCAATGGGGTGTTTGCTTAATGTCTAATTCTGGGTTCTGCTGTAGATATATGTATGTACGTACGTATGTGCGTACATAGGTGTAGTAAGAATCATAGCAGTGTATTGTATTGTATTGAGAGCAATACATCAGGAAAACATACCGCATATTGCTGGGCGGAACGGGGCTAGATGGCCCACGTGATTCAGGCGAGCCGCTCTCTACAGAAGGCGGTGATGCCGAGCCGCCTGGGTGCGCGTAGCCTGGAATTTCATTGAAACGGCTATACTTTACTATACGGGTGAATTTCCGCTAAAAATATAAGTGCATACCGTTGGCGCGGAACGTTTGAAAGAAAGGTTGCGGTTGCCCAATGGCGGACTGCGATGCACCACAAGTGCAGTGACACATGCATTTAGCCTGGCCCAATCCGAGTTGCGTCTGCGTCGAAGCCGATACCAGCACCTGCAACGCTTTTGTTTGCTAAAATTTCTTTGTTATAACAGCCTGAAAATTATTTCGTGCTGCAACACAAACCCGTTGAGTCGTAGGGGTCTGGCCGAGCAACGTCTGGGTGGAACCTGTTGGGGTCGGGCGCCATGCATTGCCCTGGTTAAACATCGACCACTGATCCTGAGGGGCGCTAAAAATGATCGTTCGAAGATTATCCCTTGTTTTATCATCCGCGAAAGCTAGCTCTTGGGTAAAATCGTACCTATTGAGGGTGGGTGTGCCAATCGGATTCTGTGACTCCCAGAGAGCGTGTGGACGCGACGGCGCAACCGGCGCTCTTCCACTCGACACCGGCTGATGTGACAGCGAACTATAAACGGGTTATCCTTATAGATTTCAATTAGTTATGGCGAAAGATGCATAATTCTAACGATAACGAACCGCATGACACGTCCCGGATTCTGCTGATGTCCATAATGGTTGAGGGCCGATGGTGGGCGGAAGAGATCATTTTCGGGGAATGTCTGTAATTCTCGAGGTTGTACTTTACATGCTCAAATTTGGCCGCGTTCTGCAATTCCCTCATGAATATCGATTGCGCCCTCCCGGATTCAAAATCCACCTGCTTGATGAAGATCCCGTAATCAAATTGCGGCAGATTGCGGCGCACCGAGACGTAGGTGCGGTTTGGAAATAGCGCAAAGATCCATGGGTGAGCTTGGATAAGCCCTAGGAATTCGCCGCGCCCTGAAGCAGTTATCAATGGGGTTACTGAAGAACGAACCTTCTCCAATGGTCTCGCGCACTTCAGTTGGCATCTCGGGAGAGCAGTAGAACTCATAAAGCGACTGGATCGCAGTTGCCCCACCGCGGCGCAGCAGGCGTGAAGCCAGACGGAATACACACGAATAGATCCATGGCGCCTGGAATTTGAAATTTGCAGTAGCTAGCTTCCTACTGCGTATGCCATATGTCTTATGTAACGCGCAAACCTGAAGGGCAATGGTGTCGTCGGAGTTGAGCTTGAAAAGATGTGTGCGGCGTTCGACGAATTGGCGGCGTTTCAGTGAAGAGGAGCCCACGTAACGGAAGAGTTCTTCATCTCCGCACGACGAGATGTGTGAGTGCATGCTATAATCGGGTATAGGTCCGAAGTCTGATGTTAAACACGTTCGTTTTCAGCGATTAACTTCTGGCAAATCGATACCTAGAGAGCTGTATCTGCGGCAGCGAATGGCGTTGGAAAATGCCGAGCAAGGCTGGAATCGCACGGGCTTCCTCGGCACAACTGAAGACGATATGTGTGGATTATAGAAGAAGCTAACAAGGGAACCACCTACGGTCGAGTTTGCGTTTGTTTATGGGACTCAGCTTATTTTGTGCAGAATTTTTAGCTGATTCCGAACCCGCTTCCATTTTTGCCAAATAGTTTGTTTTAAAAAAATTATAGCGTTTCAAAATTCCAGTTTTTTACAAATGAAATCGACAAAAATCGTCGAAAGTTCAAAAATTGGTATGGACTCCATTTTGTATGGGAAATGGTGAAAAACAGCCCGTTTCATAGCCACAAGTGATCGTCGATAGGCGGTGGTGCAACATCAAGATTCGAATCGGAAAGAAATTCTACAAGATCGGCTATTTAACCAAGATTAGCATATTCAAACAAGAAAGTTGGGCATCGTGGTAGTTGACCGCCCGCGGGCTCAAACATGATCTTAAATCGCTTAGGCTTTTTAAACTTTTAAAGAAAAAAGACTAAAAAAACTTTTAAAACAATAAAATAAACAACAAATAAAAACTTTTAAACTTTACTTTTTTTAACCTAAGCTTTTTAAATCGGGCCATTTGGCAAAAATTGAAAGCGGATTGATTAGGCGGGGTCCCATAGCGAAACGCCACCTCGACCTTAGGTGGTTCCCTTGCAAGGCATTTCTGCTATTTCCTAAGAATGGGGCTGACGATGAATAGGCTACCGATACCTGTAGGCATCTTTGCTGTTCTGTGGATTGGGCGATAACTTCTCGAGGTTGACTTCATGCGAGTTGGCGAATACGGTCTCGGCTTCCTAAAGCAAAAATAAGACTGTGCTCCGCTGAAAAACAATGTTAATTTTAGCTTTGATGCAGCGTAATATGCACAGGTTTAAGCGCAACAACTTGATAAGGATCTAAATTGCTTAAAGAAACCTACGGGGCCATAAAGCGGCGAGACCAGGGTCGCGATGTATTCACTGCTTTCGGAGAGAGCTGCTTGGAAGGAGAGGGTAAAACCGACGCGCAAGACCGATGTCAGATCCGTCAGTTGTTGGTCGCAGAAGTCCTTGATTTGGAACGAAATGACCATCTTGTCCTTGCAAGTAATTAGGCCGGCCTTGGACGAGAGCCAGGTCAATTGTCCGAACCTGAAAGTTTTCTTTTTTAGACAGGTGCTGGTGCCAATGACCGTGTCGCGCCTGAGAATCAGAAAAAACGAACCCCTTGATGGAATCTGGTGGTTTGGGAGCCAGGTCGAGAGTGGGCAGCGGGGCCGAGTTGGAGAATGGAGTCGGCGGCGGAGCAGGGCCACCATGGAGGGGGCCAAGCTGGCTAAGCTGATGGAAAGCGCCTCCCGCACCGTTTCCCATCAGTTCCATGAGGGGTGGAATTCCTCCCTGGGCGCCGTAGGCCTGAAGCTGATTGAGAAGTGGCTGTGGATGACCAGCTCCTTGACCCAGTGGAGGCCACAAAGGGGTAGGCGGAGCCGAGACGCCCTGAAAATAGCATCTTTTTTGAATATCGGACTTAAACGCAGATAATTCTAGATCGGTACCACGCCCGCTTTTCTAGGAAAGGAGACACTGGGCAATATTAAGGACGTATTCCTGATAGCTTCACTCTAAGCCCTGTGTCGAAAATATAAAATAATGAGAAAATATACCTGAACGCCCATGAGTGGTTGAGGCGGTGGTGGAGCAAATAGACCTCCAAGGTCGAACCCGGACATCTTCATCTGAAATGAAAGGAATTCCATGCTAAAGACGGTAATAATAAATTTTAAATAAATGACAATATAACTGACAGACGATGTGGAGTGTCTGTTGGAGAGATGAGGATGGCTGGTATGTGAAGTCGCGAAGCCGTTTGCCGGGATCAGTTTTCCATAGAAGTCCGCCCCGAAAGGACCGTCGTGCTCTGTAAGGCAAAATATTTTGGATGCGGATTGGGCCATAGGATTCGAGAAGACAGTCATATGGGAATGCCGATAGAAGCTGGTGGACGGTGACGATAAATCAAGATGTTAAGGGTGAAAGAGGAGGGAAGTCAAATCGATCGCCGCAGCTCAGGTCATTCAGCACATTTGTCTGCAACTTGTGAAATATAGGTTACGACATTAATAGTTCTTCCATTAATGGTAAAAAGAAGCTTCGCGGTCTCGATGCTATTTTTACTTCTCATAGTCAAAGCGAAGATGCTAGTGGTTAAACTGCCCGACTTCAACTTTTAGACTTGATGCCCGACTTTTTTACATAGGTGCAAAGCTGCGCCACAAGTCGTTGCTAATTGTTCGCGTACAGATATTATACATATGAGAGGTAACTCGACATACGCACGGAGATTTTTCTGGTATTTTAAAATGTCGGGTAACGGTGTAGAAGCCAAGCCAATTGATTGGTCGGTCAAAGCAAAAATTAAACATGATGGCGCTTATCCTTAAGAACTAAGACCGCTGAAGGGAGACTGTATTTCATCAAAGGGGAAACTAAATAAGATAGCCATTGGCTAATTGATGGACTGGTGGTGAGCCCCGGAAGGCGCCGTAGTACAATAGCCGATCGTGCGTCTATGTGTCTGTATGTCTGTCCGTGTGCATGTGTGTGTGTCTATGTGTATGTGTGTGCAGAGGGGGGAGGGTGCGAGCGGGAGTGCTGCCGGAGCGCGTGGAGAGGGCAGCGTAATCGATGGGGGCAAGTGAGGGTGGATAGTGGGGAGGGGAGCAGACGTTAGAGTTGGAGACACGACGGGATCCATGGGTGGGGCGGAGCCCTTCGGAACCCGGCCGGCTCAACGGTGTCCACCTCCTGAAACCTCTCCCCGCACACACGCGGACAGAGAGACATACAGACAGACATACACACACAGCAGCAGCACCGAATCGATCCGATAGCTCGCCCCTCGAATCCGTTCCGTCCGATCTGGAAGGCAGTGCGGGACCGATATGGCTCGAATCAACATAATTGCGGGTCCAATCAGTTCCAAAAGTGCAGATTGTTTGCGATTTCCAATAAAGTTTAGAGTCGATGTGACCTTACTATACGTGGATGCTATACTCTAGCTTTAAAAGAAATAACGAAAAGATAGTTCAAATATCAATCAGTGAACGATGCTTTTGGGGTGCATCATTAGGACGTGTTCAGGGTACGAAATGACTGCAATGTTGTGAGAGATAGCCTACCTTTTTCCCCAGGCCGTCCACTTCACTGAGAAGGTTTTAGGCCCGTAATAAACGCTAGGCTCTATTTATGAAAAAATTATGTGTTGCAAAAGAGAAGAAACTCTGGAGACTGATTGAAGAGTTTCGAAACCACAAGCAAGCGTAGATGGAAATCAGTAGGCTGTGAAAAAGCAGACTACCGTGGCCAAAGACCAGCCGGCTCAGGAGCTTCAATTACAACTTTCAAGGGATTATAAGTATGTTGACTTGGTTGCCCGGCCCAGATTAAAAAAAACCATGCTAGTCGTTAAATCATAGCTGGCTCAAAAATTTCAACCGGGTGAAATATTTCGGGCAAAATTTAGGAAGGAAGGTCGGGCAACGACAGAAACATGCTGAAATCCACCTAACGTACTTTAACAATTATTAGGAGGAGGCTGCGGACATGCAGGATTTTCGTGCGCATCTATAGTTTGGATATCTGCGGAAAGGGGAGGACAAAAATAGGGGAGAAAGACATCGAAAGAACAGGGGCATAAATAGGCCGGGGATGTGGGAACGCGTTGCCGAAGAGGGGACAGACCGGCATAGAGGTGGGAATGCGAAAGAGGACATAGACGATCAGACGGTCCATAGCGCGTCTCAAACATCGATCCAAGCCTTTCCCCCCTTTCCCTTCCCTTTCTCCCGCTACACCCAGTGAGGTATCGTCCCCTACTGCTTTTTGCTCCACTCTCGCCAGGCCAATACGGTAGCTAGGGTGCTAGCTTATAAAGAAAAAATACATAGGTATAACACCGCATACTTTGTAAAATAGCAAAGCTGCACGTAAAAACTGGTCGCAGACTCGATTGAATAAATACGTTATGTATTAAATTCAATTGGGTATATTATTTACACGGTAAACACGTTTTATTCTTTATGAGAACATGGATTACAGAGGCAACGGAACGCCGTCACGATCAAAAAAAAAAAAAAAAAAAAAAAAAAAAAAAAAAAAAAAAAAAAAAAAAAAAAAAAAAAAAAAAAAAAAAAAAAAAAAAAAAAAAAAAAAAAAAAAAAAAATTTTAAAAAAAAAGGGGAAAAGGGGGGGGGGGGGGGGCCCGGGGGGGGCCCCCCCCCAAAAAACCACCGTGGAAGGAACGGTCAATCCGGTCTATCGTCGAGGCAACTGAAGATACGCTCTCCTCCACCTGCAAATATTCGTTTTCATTAGCCACATCCTCAAGTGCCTGGGAACCACAAGATAACAGGCCTAGCTCCATAGTTATTGCTCCTAGCACTTGTGATTGCCTTTTCCATAATACAGGGCGTCCCACAAAAAAGTACTCTCTCGTGCGGCGCGCAGTCGTGTCCGATTGTCACGATTTAGGTATCTATCGAAAGTACCGGACAAGGCGAGAAAAAAGGATGTTTTATCTTCATTATTATATATTTTTATCCACGAATTTTACGCCCAAAAAGCATACAAACTGCTGATTTATGCAAGAAGCAAGAAGATCTGAATGCTAACGGCGAAATTCCCGTTGAAAAATTGCTCGTTTAAAACAACGTCAAATATCGATCGAATGATATTCAATCTTAGAAAATGAACCCCGCTTGTTTGGGAAAACTATTTTTGGGACACTGTCTTTACTGTGCGGATTTGCTTCGACATACCGCGACTGGTGCTTCATCGGTACCCATATCGGTGGCCACCCAGCCTGGGTAGATGTTGATCACCAGGATCCCTTTTTCCGACAAATCTTCCGCCAAGACGCGCGAGAATTGACTGAGCGCCGCCTATGGTGAAAGACAATAAGAAACTTGAACTAAATTGAAAAAACCCCCCCCCCCCCCCCGAGAAACCCCAACCCCCCCCCCCCCCCCCCGGGGGTCTTTCCCCCCCCCCCCCCCCCCCGGTCTTGGGGGCCCCCCCCCCCCCCCCGGGAGCTTTCAAAAGCCCCTTTTTTTTTCCCCCTCCCCGGGGGATTCCCCAAAACCCCCAAACACCCAAAAAACCACTTTTTTTTTTTTTTTTTTTTTTTTTTTTTTTTTTTTTTTTTTTTTTTTTTTTTTTTTTTTTTTTTTTTTTTTTTTTTTTGTCCGCCCCAAATTTAAAAATTAAAATTTTATAAAAAATAAATATTTTAAAATAAAATATTTTTTTATAATATAAAAAATTAAATAATTATTTTTTTTATTTTTTTTAAAAATATTTTTTTTGAGGGTTTTGGGTTTTTTTTCTTGGGTTTTTCTTCCCCGGGTCCCCTTCTTTTTCCCTTCGGGTTTTCCAAGGGGGCTTGGTTTTTTTGGGGCCCCCCCCGGGGGGTTTTTTGGGGGGCCCCCCGAATATCAATAAAGCCCATAATTTTCCAGACCGTTGCCGGGGATGCGACGAAAATCGTACCTTGCTACATTTATGGGGCAGATACCCCTTCTCAGAGGATCCATACACCGAGCATTGCGTTAACGACCCAAAATCCGAGCCCATGTTCACGATGGCTGACTGCACCGTTGATTGCTCAAGTAGTGGCAGCATGTACTGAAAGATTAGAATCAACTTCATCTCGCAGAAATCGACATACCCTAGAATCCCGAATATAGTCCCCCTCCCCCCCGGTTTCTTGCGAATAACTTTATTCACTAAAGATATTTTGGAATTTCGATTGAATATTTGCTACGTTTCGATCCAGTATTTTGAGTGGTTTAACGAAAGAAATTGATTCAGGAAATCCTGAGAACCGCTTCGTTTCTCATACATAGCTTTTGCGGCAAGCGGACGGGGCCGCACGTTATTAAAGCGTCATTTGTATTTCGTCGCCAACTTGTACCGGGACTATACTCGGGATTGCAGGGTATTTGTTAAGGTATCTACAGCATCGTTTGAACTTACTTACGCGGAATGAGGAACAATTGAGCTAATTCCACTAAATTGAAAACAAGTCCAAACTCACGTGAGTTACGATGATTTGAGAGGTAACGTTCGTCCGCATCACTGAATCAACATTGGCTCGATTTGGTGGCTCGCTGAATGAATCGATTCATTACCTTGTACCCCATCAGGGTTTTTGCGCAAAAAATAGCGGTCCTAACCGACCTGAATTGGTAGGGGATCAAGACGGCTGCATTATTAACTAACAGCTCCAGCCCAGACGAGCCCACCGTATTAGCAATCTGCAAATGGGGAGTTCGTGAACGGGAAGCAGAGGGAAGAGCGAAAAATTAACAAACCGTTTTGACCGCCGATTGAATATCGCTGTCCGAAAGAATGTCCAGTTGAATTATGTGTAGCCGTGAGTCCCCGATCTTCTTCAGATCCTTAAAATATTAGTAATATTCCCTGTTGAGCTTCTCAGTCCAAAAATATTCTCGCCAGGTAGTAAAGCTATTTTTGTCTAAAGGGCTGATGGAGGCCCACTAGATCAGGGTTGATCTATAACCGGCAACGAGCCAACCGGAAATGCTAATGCAAATGGGCAAAGAGTGGGGCGAGGCAGGAGGGAGCAGAGGAGACTTATGCTAATTTTAGAACTAAAACCAGTTTTATGACAATTTTTCCTAGTCCTTCCTGATCCCTGAAGGCTCTCCTTTTGATTTTACTTATTTTACTTTTTACTTCAAAACGTTTCTCTAATACTACTAAAAAAATTATTTCCCCATACCGATAGCTTGCCAGCATACCTCAGCTTTTGCAGGATCCCTTACACCAGCGAAGATGTGCTGCAGGTAGGGGCGCTTAATAAACTGCCGGACGAGGCCAAGGCCAATACCACGTGCCGCTCCGGTAATGAGTACCGATCGAGGTTTGAACGTTGCCATTAAGTATTGCAGGCTGCGAATACCCTGGAACAAACGCCCCTTATCATGACCGAGAAGCGGCCGTTGTGCCCTTGACAAACTCCATTCGATTGTGTTTACGAGAATACAAGCATGGTCGAATCAAGGTTATGAACGGAGCAATGTCTCTACAAAAGACGATTAATCCAATTATCGTAGTTTTTCTCGCACTGCTGTATACAGGGTGTGCAATAAAGAACACCCCCTCCTACTTGTTGCAGAAGTATAGGATCGGAACGATAGTTACGGAAGCCCTTGAAAGGTTGTTGCAAAAGTTCCCAAAGCCATGGTTTTAGTTAGACGCGACATTTTGCAGCACGGCTAAAAGATTTACGGTACGGCCTCTGAAACTAATTAACGGCTACAAGCAGCCATTTTTGCTCGAGAAACTTAAGGCAAATTAACTCGTATGCAGAAAAAAACGTACCAGAAAATGTAACAAAACGGCTTGTAAAACAGCGCATTTAAGTAAACACACGGATTTAAAGATTGCCACAAACGCGCCGTTTCAAGGGTTTTCGAATGGTGCAACTATCGTTCCGATCCGATACTTATGCATCGAGTTAGAGGGGGTGTTTTTTATATACGCCTTCTATGGGATTATTCATCCTACCAGACCGTCCAGACCAACCATTTATTCAAAATTCGAAGTATTTGGAGCACATTCCTTACAAAAAATTCTGGGAAAACGTTGCACATATAGTAGGTGTACACTTGCAGGGATTATTATTGGGCTTAATTGGTCCGTGATAAGTTAATGAGGCACCACTAGAAGCGAGCTGGCGTATTGAGCAGGTGTAAAATGACAGAAAAATCAACACGATTTAAGGTATTTGGTGGAGTGCAAGCTTAATGCCACAAAAACAGTGGTTTAAATCTGTGGGATGCAATGGAACACGGCACAGCACGATTCTATGAACATCGGTCACAGTTAGGAGACGAATCGAAGGGGTTTGTAAGGCCAAAGGTGAACAAAACGAAGGAAGGCACACGTGATAAAAAAGAGCACAAAATCGTGCAAAAAATCTGGGTTGCTGCCACTTGGAAAACTGGTGGAAAAAAACCGACAAACGTGTAAAGCGCGAGCCATGAAATAACAATTTTCGATTAACGAATATCATAATGCAAAGCTCGGCACGAAAGTAATTGGAAGGGGCGTGATGAAGCTCGCTGTTGAGAATTGGGCTTGATTTTAGAATGACCACTAGTTTATGGGCGGATGATCTCGTTTCCGGCTCGAATTGGGACCACCTCCACCGCCTGGTGGATACCTAAATTGGCTCCGTGATTTTTGTGAGACCCCTTTCTTATGATTGATTATTATCATTATTTCTTAAGATTCCTTTCTTTCTTATGATGCAAACTTCTCAATCTATAAGGAGGACTTTTGTCGAACTAACAGACAGCCCAAAACCAAACCCCAAGCAAGCGAAGGTTAGACAAAGATACAAAAAAAAGCAAACCAAAAAGAAAAAAAACCAACAAGAGGGAAGGAGAGAACCACGCCGTAGCCACAACGTATCCATACCCCATTCTAAGTCGACTAACCTGACGGCACGTGGGACATTCTCGCGCAGTGCAGGCTGCTGACGACCATTTCTTTGCTGTCGGCCGATAGTCGATCGATCTTGGGCCACTTCGACGTCTTCTAGACGTTGCGTTAGCGCCAGCTTTTGCTGGATAGCCATCCGCAGTAGTTGATTTAAAGTCCTCTTTTCATCCTCGTTACTCTTGTTTTCAGCCTTCAGCTCGTCAACCTAAAACACTGACGTAAAGGATAAATGAAGCCAATTTCAATCCTCCCTCTCCCTGTCTCTCTCTCTCTCTATCTCTCTCGCTCTCTCTCTTTCTCGCTCTCTCTCCCTCTCTCGCTTCCTCTTTTCCAGCTCTTCGCCATTTTATCGACCCACCAGAGCCTGCAATTCTTCGCATCTGGCAGTGAACATTGCTCGATGAGCCGCAAAGGTTGCTGCATCTTCCTAAAAAGCAAGTATTAAGTATTAGTCCCAATCGAATACGGCTTTCTTGTTGAAGCCTGCAGGAAAACTGCGCTATATACCAACCTTTAATTGCTTCAACTCTCTGCGCTGCTTTTCCATCAGGTCATGCGAGAGCCGCTTTTCGCTCTCGTATTTGTCGCGTAGGGAATTCAGCGCAGTCTCAGCCGTGATCTTATTCGATTTCAACACTGTCCGCAATGTCGAAATTTGGTCGCTGAAAAATTAGATTAAAGGCAGTAAAGAGGGCCTGTGGTTCCCGGGTGCCTTTAATTTGATCCCTAAGTGATCCCTAAGCATACAATTACGAAAAAGCCAGGTGTTAATTCCATAGACGGAGGTGAGTGATCTCCATCCACATTCCAGGTTTTTCGCAACACTTACCGTTTGGTCGATAACAGTGAACGGAGCTTAATGTTTTGTAGCAGGACTTCTTCGGTTTCTTGACCCGAAGCTTCAACTCGAGTGTTCATCGTCTGCTCGGCACAGCGGCGGACGGCAAGGACAAGCTTATGTACAGCCTCCGAAGTCTCAACAATGGGCGCTCGTTCGTCCGACATCACGCGCTGGCGAAGATCCCCGTCTTGCATTATTTGGGCGGTTCGGGTTCCAGTTAGACGTCCATCCACTTCACGGATAAAGCCCGGTGGCAGTACCGAGCGAGCCGCATTGAAGGGGATGGAAGCGCGTGCGCCACCGCTTTCGGTCTCTGTGCCGCTTTCAAGGCCCTCATCAGCCAGGCTGACGTGTGGCTGCTCCTCAGCATTTTCTTTCGCCAACGTCCGCAACCTCTTCACGACGTCTACTACCTAAGATTACGGTAATCACCAACCAAATATCACGAACCTGACGGTCATTCGGGATCCCTGCGCTTTGCGCCATTTGATGGTAAAATTGATAGAGGGAGTCTGACAAGGAGATCATCATGTCTTGCGCCGCAGCCAGTTGTGCATTTCTTTCACCAGCTAGCAGCAACAGTATCCTCAGATCGCCCTTCATAGTTTGTGCTTTCTTTTCGGCTTCAGGATCCGAGCCTGACTTCATCAGGGCATCAAGTCGCTCAAGCACTAGGTCTTTCTGTTGGCGCGCATAGCGAAAGTCGAGGTCGGAATTGAGGTTGATGTTCATCTTCTGGCAGAGGGCTCGTACAAAGTCCACAGTCGTCTTCTCAGCGGCCGCTACCTGCTCTTCCAATCGATCGCGGGTCGTTTCGAGCTCTTGTATCTGTAAAAAAAGCATTCGTGTCTTTCCTTCTCATTTATTTCTTTTGCCTCCATCTTTGTTTTTATTTAAAAAACGTACTCGCGAGTCTCCAGAGCCTTGAAGCTCCGAAAAGAGGTCGTTTGCAGGCGGGTGAGGTTCGGATCCCTCTTCATCTCCATCACTCGTCAATCGCTGCATCAGATCATGCAAACTATGCATATTATTCATATGCTCGGCGTTTTTCGACGCCTCCAATTCCCTCTTCATCGCCAGCCGCTGTTCTCGTTCTTGATGTGCAGTCTGCAGCGCCTCCTCCATCTGTGGAAAAAAATAATTTTGGTAAACTAAAATTTTTGACTCACCTGAGCAATGGCGATGGCGCGGAGCTTTTCATTCTCATCGAGAGCAGCTTTCAAGAAGTAAATCTCTTCGTCTCGTTCTTGATAGGTCATCTTCATCGCATCAAATTCCACTTGGGCACTTCGCAAATTTGCCACCGTTTTTTGCAGTCCAATATTGTCGAGTTCGAGGTCTTCTCTCTCGGCATTCAATCGTTGCTCCGATTCCCGTACTTCTTTCAGCTCTCTCTTCAGACGACGCCCCTCCTCTTCCAAGATTCGCGTCGCATCCCCCACCTCGGCATATGCATTTTGTAGACGGTCCAGCTCGGTTTGCGTGCGCTCGAGCTCCTGAAAATTAATTGCTAAAAGTTGCTCAAGAGATGTCTTTGCAGACCTTTGTCTTTTTATGGCATTCATCCTCCAGTTGAGCGATTCGCCCCTCATACACTCGCTCCTTCTCGCTAGTTTCCGCCAATAGGGCTTGCTCATTTTCCAACTCCGATTTGGCCGCGGCTTTGTGTTTGCTTTGGAACTCGTCTAGTTTCTGAAAAGATATCAATTTCTGCTAATTTATGCTTGCCCAACCTTTGTCAGAACATCGACCTCACTGCGGGCCACCTCAATCTCCGATTGTAGACCGGAAACCCGGTGGTTCAGTTCTTCCTTTTCAGTCAACAGTTGTAGCCCTGCTTCCGCCGCCTAAATTAAATTATCAGTTCGATAATATCTCAAAACTGGAATTCGCACTTTGTGGTGGTCTCAGACTCGACTTGTCAGGTTTTTCACCTGGATTATCTTGGAATATCATACCTGTCTATTGAGCTCTCGGGTTTTCTCGAGCTCGGCCTCAAGCCTCGCCGCCTCGCCTCGAAGCTCCTCGAGCTCGCTGCCCATCTGCGGTTCTTTCCGGCCCACTACGCCAAGCCTAGAAAAATTCTGTTGAGTTGAGCAAGCGTTAAATGTGGTTTGAAATGAAATAATCGGATGTATGCAATTCAAACAGCTGCTTCGAGAAAGCGGAACTCAGAGGCGGGTAGATGTTGCGTTCTCGAAAGTATTTTTGGATCATGTGAGAGTGTGTTTCATTATTTTAGAACTTGAGTTACAGATTTCTGTCCAAATACGCTGGCTGTTTAGCAATGTTTTCATAGAGAAAGCGCGCAGCTACGGTCGCAAGTCCAGTGTTCAGCTGGGCACTATCCATCGCCTGCTAGTCACAACAAAAATCTATCAAAAGGCACGTTCGAACAAATTCATTTGGAAAAATTGTTGTATCGTTTCCTAAACAACGCGGTTCGAAAAAACTCCTAAATAATCCACGGTAAGCGCCATCCACAATCAAGCGGCGACCTTTTTATTCTTTCAAAAAGCCGCCATAATCAATCCTAATCAAATCAATCAAAGAATTGAATTAATGCTTAAACTTCCGCGCCAATCGTTGTAGTGACAAAGGGGGACTGCCATAGGGAGCGAAAGTTAGTTGTAGTCAAGTTGTCGAGCACAACGGCTTATTGCGGTTAGATGGGAAAGGCGCCTGGGCGGATGGTGAGAGAGCGGTAAGGGATGGAGAGGTCGAGAGATAGAGAACGTAGAGGAAGTCGATCGATCTCGCACCGATCGGGGGAAAGACCCGACGGTCACTCGCGCTTGCATTGTCAGCCGGGGGAGGGGGCTCGAACCCTCGATGCGAACGAACGCACACATCTAGAATTAGTCTATGCACTCATATACAAGAAGGAAGAAAGATAAGGCCTAGTCTTATTCAAATAAATATCCACCTTCAATTCGTACGAATTGATGAAGCTTCCGTTTTTTCGTCCAGTCTGAAATTTTTGCTGGTAACTATTTTCCAGAAGCCGTTTTTTTGCAGCGGAGAAGCGTGAGAAACGGCATATTTCTGTGATTTGCAGGAAAAAATTTTAGACTTGGTTTTTCAGATCTTATCCTGAAGTAAATTCTCGGATTTGATCGAGGATTTGGTTGGATAAGGTCAACTCCGGTTAGACTCCATGCATTTTGCCAGAGTGATTTTTGATCAGCTTATCGCCAGAGCAATCGACAAGAGCTTATCTAGGAAGCACTAATTCCTCGAATGTGCCTAGGCGGCTCCGGTCACAGTTTGCTTTCGGTACCACTCTATTTGCTTATTGTTAGTGCTTATTGCAAACTTTCCATATAATCCTTTATAGAAAAACCAAATCACAGTCTAGATAGCTCTGGTCGATTCAAACATACTCGTAAAGATTTTTGAGGGGAATGTTAATAACAATGATTGGAGATGGAGCAATCAATTGGTGGTCCAGGGGGAGCGCGTTAGAAAAACTTCCGTCGATTGCAGCTAGCGATGAAGTGCTCGATCTGTTCGCACGACAGCCCCTAAATAACTGTTGGTCTCGGCAATATTGCACTTGGTGTCAGGGATAAATGTTCAGATTGAGATGCTCACCCCACCAACCATTCCTTGCAGCATCAAACAATTGTTTCGCGCAAATCCCGGAATGTCCGTGATCCCTAAAGATCGGTTCGCAAATGGGTCACCCGGCCTACCGTAGTCCCCGGCTAGTTTCTTCATCAACTGGCACGTCTCCGGGGTAGCTTCTTCAAAACGCACGGCAGGTGGCATAGGCGCTACCGGCAGAGGGCTGAAGTTAAGATCACAACAATCTATCGAATGCTTTTTGGCATATGCCAGAAATTTTGCTCTTGTAGGAGTAACCTTCCCATACAAAAAGTATACTATACCAAGATTATCGCCTTTTTTAAAAATTTTTCCGCTTTTCGAAAATATGCGTTAGCGCTCGTTTAAAAGAGAAAAACTTTCTTAAAGGGATAAGGACGGCATAAGTCAATCGATTACGCGCGGGAAAGAAAATGTCTCTGCGCCTCTCTCCTGGGCGCCCTCTCTCGCCGCTGCATGCCGTCCTCATTCCTTTAATAAGTTGGCGGCGACTTGTTTTAGAAAAATCAACCAGGAGGAGAAAAAAATAATTCAGTTTGAAGTTAGACGCCTTTAATTAATATCCCCTGCAAAAAACAAATATCTCGAGTTTAAACATCTGTCGGCAATTTCAAGCCAAGTCGATGTTCAGCACCGCCGACTCTAGCTGTGTGCAGATTTTTAAAACCATCTGAGTGAAAGGATCTTCCGGATTTGCCTAGTAGGCCCCCTTTGTCACTTACGCGGGGTATTGAACCGGAGTGAGGGTGGTGGAATGTGACGGGAAGGCAGTTCTACAATTGCTCGTTTCAAAGGGGAAATAACGCCTACGGTAGGTGTTGTATTGGCAGCGAAGTGAATGCCATCCTCGGGGGTTGACGCTGTCGCTTCCGGGGTCGTTGTGGCAGCTTTTTTAGGCTCCGCGCTAAAATAGGCAATCGAAAATATCGATTCACCCCATGGAAAATTCCCTAACTTGCATAACCAAAGCCAAAAAATTAGTCCAAAATTCACGAACCCGGCGGCATTTGGCGGACGGGGTGTGACGAGAGTGGCAAGCGGATACTGTGGCGGAATGATTGGCTGTGGGGGTGGATTGTAGACGGGGACCGAGGGCAAAAATGGCAAGGGCATGCTCCGTCTATCCAGACCATCAACCGGCAGACTTGATATATGACTTGCTCGAAGTCGGGGCTCTTTCGGCGAATGCACCTGCAAAGTCTTATGCATCTAACTAAAAATTCAAACGTACCCCGTATCCTAGTGGAATTTGTGCATGTCGGGATCTGCCGTAGCGCAGGGCTGGCGGCGGTGGGGCGAAATCATCTAATGTTCGAATTAAACAGGGTATGAGACATTGGACGAATCTGGTGTAACTATTTAACTTTATAAAAAACGAAAGCTAATGACCGACGAAAAGCTTCTGAAACTGATTTTCTCGACTAATTTTGTCTCTACATCGCTCACCCTCCATATCATCGTAATTATCCTTTCTGAGCGCGGCTTGCCTCCTAGAAGGGGGCACATAATCATCGTAGCTATCCTGAAACTGGAAGGTAAATAGGGAACGAAATGGAACCTGCTCGTCATCGTCGTAATCTGTATACTCATGCCGATGTCGCTGGCGATTCACCCTTTCCGGATGATAGCGCCTAGAATTTTGCGTATAAAACATGTGATATACTGTGTGTTATTTGGGAGCATTGCTGAGTCGATGTCCAATAAACACGAAAAGGCTACCTTGTGATTTGCCCATACCTCTCAGCACGGAAATAGGGGCGCCGCCTTGTATAAGTTTCCCTAAACAGGACAACTTAATTGTTTTTTTTATAGTTTAGTTTCAGCACAATTTAATTTCCTTCTGAACTACTCCGTTAAGCCAACCTCTCCGCTGAACTTTCACCAAAGTCCGTGTCTACAAAATCGGCTTCACCCGGATCGAATTCCTCTTCTCGAGCGCTCGGGCGCTATAATGTTTTTGATGGCTATGTACCCTATATTAAAAACCCTTCGGTTCTGTGGCCGTATTGGACTGCGTCTCCGTGATTGTTCATACGAAGTTTCGTGTCGACGAATTTCAGGTATTTCTTTCAATTTCTTCTGATCGGCCTTTGGTGAACTGCTTGTCGCGACGGCAGCTTCATTAGCGCGATTGTTTCCGGAATGAATCGCAACCTGCAAGAGATTACGGAACATATGGTTTCCTTTCAAATTTACGTTTAGTAGGATTAAAGGAACCTTTCTGGGCGGTATTGTCACCTTTTCAGTGGTGGCGCTCGGAGGTGTAGTTGTCGATCCGATGTCGACAACAATTGTGGTGCTGGGAAGTGATGTGGTGGTTGGTACGGATCTTGGTGTGAAGCGATGACCGGTTGCCGGCGGACTCGTTGTCTTTTTCAGCGGTTCGGTCTCGACAGGATCTTCTTCCAGTGTTTCGAGCAATTCGCGCTCAAATGGCCCGATTGTTGACGCCCGGGTCATTTTTGGCGCAGAACTTCCGACCGTCTAAATCATGATAATGCTTATTGTCCAAAATATTTTACATCGAGCTGGTGCAAACAGCTAGCCTTGACGCACTTACAAGGTCGACTCCATTTGCTTGTGATTGTATATATGTATTGAGAAGGGTGGAAGGAGCTGTTGCAGCTTCATAGCGAGCCCTTGTTGAGCCAGTTTCACGCGCGTTTGCTTCGAGTAGGTTTCCAAACGGATCTACCGGAATCCACTCTTCCACGCAACGGAACCTAAAGCTTTTCGGTAGCTATCCGGTAAAAACTGGCATAATCAAGATCGCCAACTATTCAACCGGCCTCCTAGTAATAATTAGAAATCAAGTATCTAAACGCACCGTTTCAGACCGCCGTGTACAATCGCCGCCTTTCGGTCGTAGTTTGACGAATGCACGAAGGCGACAAATGCCAATAATAGCAGCAGCATTACACGTCGGCCCCAATGATCAGTAGATGCACATCTGATGAGCCGGTAGGAGCCTATAAGGCACATTTGCACAAAAGAATTAAAAAAATAAATAGAGCTTCATCGTGGCAAGACGCCAAATTGAAGAGTAAATGACCCCGGAAAAAAATGAGGGCGTTTTGGCGGCACTGTTCTACATATTTCAAGCGGGGGAAAAGACGGGAAGGGGAATGACGTTCAAGAAATTTTGTAAAAATATCGAAAATCTCGAAAAGTAGCTTTCGACTCTACGCTCACCTATGGAGACTGCGTTTAAGGTTATTTTAGCTATAGCTATTTTATATTACGTCATTTTGAGAAGATATCAATAATCTTAGTATAATTTTGATGCTCAATCGAATGGTGTCTTCAGAACACCGAAAAAACAGCGAAAATATTCAAAACTAGCATGCCAGCCTCAGTTCAAAAAGTTATTTTTGTGTTTGCTCTAACTTTTTTATAATAAAACAAAAACTGAGTATATTTTTCGATGCTCTATAGAATACGGTTCCCAAAATTTGAAGAAAACAGCAAAATTGTCGAAGTCCTGCTCAAGCAAATTTTCCCCCGGCACAGTTTTGCCCCTCCCGGAATGGAACATAACTGTGTTGCAATAAGCCCGTATTTCGGTCATGATTCGCCTAACGATGCATTTTTAGAGCCGGTGGTCGGTGAAGTAAGTTCATCGATGGTGCGAACCTCGGGTCTAATGATGGGGTGGGCCAGACCCTCCAAAACCAGTTTCTCAGCCCTAAAATTTAGCGTTAGCACGGCTATTTGGGGGGCTATTTGGGCTGAAAGGGAGAGGTGGGAAGGGAAATCTATGAGTTTGCTTGTATTCTCCCTAAATATACAAGGCCTACGCGGGTCCGGATGAGCCCCATTTGACCTGAAAAACGAAGGAGGGCGGGTGGGAGGCGAATCTGGCGGGCTGCATAAATGTGGTGTCAGGCAGCAAAGGGTTCTAGAAACCACTCCTTTAAGCTTTAGCAGTACGCCATGGTTGAAAACCACACTGATTGAAAGCCATTGGGCCGAAAAGCACAAAGCTCGTCTGGTAGGCTTCACAGGCTTGTCAGCCACGGTCCCTAGTCCGAAATTGGCTGTGGTTTGGAGAGAAACGAACACCATATGCTAATTTGTTGTAGGAATGGAAAATAACATGTGACAACAAACCACAAGAGTTTGTTGAAAAGAGACATTGACAGACAGATTTGCCAAATCAGCTTGAGCAGCTGAATGACAATGCGCGTGTGTCCACCAGTCAACTGAGGCAAGAAGCGGTTTCAATGTGCTCGGGTGTCTTCTAATAACGGATCCCGGAGCTGCGTAGCGGCAATTTGCATAAAAACGGGACATGCGGATCGAGATTCCTGTCGCACAGGGCTTGTTAACTGGTTGCAACGGGCTCGATGAGCTGATGGAAGAAGGGCGGGGGGGCAGGCTGTGTCTAACTATTCGAATGTACCACCGATTTCTTCTAATAGAACACTACCATTTAACGTCTCATTTAAGCTTTTCTTCAGACTTTAACGACTTGTACCTAAGTTTTTTTAAATAAAAAAACCTCTCAATACATACGCGACAATCCGGAAAAAATAACCGCCAAGCCAAAGGGAAGAATATTTTAACGAAAAAGAGGGAAAGCAAAAACCTGGCGGAACGGGAAACGGGGTTTTCTGTGGATTGCTGCTGCCCAACACTTGAAATTATGGGTCGACTGGATGCGAGAGGAGATGTTGCACATTCTAGTAGGAAAGAGGCTTGCGAGCCGGATCCGTGTTCCATCAAATAGAAGGAAAGGAGCGACCTTTGTGACCGACACTCTACTACCACACAGCAAGTGTGCTTTCTTTCCGACATTCAGGGCACGATGGAGGGTAAAAGTGCGGCGGAGCCATAGCCATAGTAGACTAGTTGCTCCAAAACAGATGGCAACTCAAAAAAGAAAACACAGCGAGTCCGGAGACGTTTTTTAGCAAAGAGACGTTTTTAGTGATTTAAAGATTTCAAAAAGCTATTAAGGTTTTAAATAAACGCAAAAAAATGGCCCAATTTCGGGAATTTTTCCTTTTCCGTCCGAAAAGCTTCATCACTTTTTCATTCTGATCGTTTGTCAAATTTTGAAAACTGGTTCGAAATCAGCGCAAAATTCTGCATAAGATAGGCTAGTGCCCGTACGGAAACTCGATTTTCACTAAAAACGTCCCCTTGTAAGCATTAAGTGGACCGGGTCAGTGATATGCGGATGTCAGGCGCATTTTAGGGGAATTCCTGCCATCACTCTGTTTTGCATATAGAGACCATATGAAAGCTGGAGAGTGAAGCGGACTCATCCTGCGCCGAGAGTGGTCGTTTTAACTGGTGACCAGCCCGGGTTTGAGGTCGACGTCCTGAGGGGGAAGCGGGAGCACCGCTGAGAGCCCGACAATTATTTGTGTCACTCGGACCGTCAAACGACCAATTGACAGCCACGAGCCCGGGGGACTGGTCCTTCGCGTTACCCCGAACGGTCTTCCCCGCCCCTCCCATCTCCGTTCCTTGAAGGTGCTGAAGGCAAGAATCAAGGGCATGTTTGGGCCCCGGCACGCCATTATCATTCTCGGGGATTATCTGTATACCAGGGTTGAAAAGCCGCTTCGCGGTCCCTGGCCCTGGCGGGACCACCCTGGCCCCCGTCTCGGTCCCCTGACGGTCTCCAGTTTGCATAGTTCTGGTCAAATTCGCTCCGCAAAAAAAATGAAAAACATCTTCGTTGCTGATTTATATAGGCTCCATTCATTTCCGGCGTATGCAAATTGTTGCCTAACAAAGCGGGGTGACCGAATATTAGCGAAAATTACATTTTAATACCGAAAATAGCTTTTTTGTAAAATCTGGTAGGTCGGCAGTCATGCCAAGCCGATTTCCCACCTACTGACATATCTCCCATACCTTCAAAGCGTTCCCCTGGCCCGATACGTCCGGAAGGGCCGGACGGAAGTTGCATGCAAATGCACACACACAGACACAATTTTTTTTTATTATGTTGAAAAAAAAATTATTTTTGGGGTTTGTAAAGGGAAGGGAAAAAAAAATATTAGTAGGTTTGGGGGGGGAAAAAAAAAAAAAAAAAAATATTGGAGTGGAGGGGGCGGGGGGAGGGATTTTGGGCCAGAAAAAAAGGGAAAAAAGAAAAAAAAAGGAAAAAAAAAAAAATAAAAAAAAAAAAGAAATATAAAAAAATAAAAAGGGAATAAAAAGGGAAAATTTAAAAAAAAAAGGAAGACAGTGGAGGAAAAAAAAAGAAAAAAGGAAGAAAAAAAAAAAAATAAAAAAGAGGGGAAGAGGGGGGGATTTAAAAGGAAAATAAAAATTTTATAAAAAAATAAAATGAAAAATATAGAGGAAGGAAAAAAAAAAAAAAAAAGGAAAAATGGAAATGGGTATTTTTTTTAAAAATAAGGAAAAATAATTGGGAAGAATGGGGGAGGGGGGGGGTTATAAAAGGGAAGATTAAAATTTCCAAGTTAAAAAAAAAGGGGGGGGGGGGGGAAAAAGTGGGGGAAAAAACTCATGGGGGGATATTTCTGGGGGGCGAGGGAGGGGAAAAAGGAAGAGAGAAAAAAAAAAAAAAAAAAAAAAAAAAAAAAAAAAAAAAAAAAAGGTTTGGAGGAAAAAACCCCGGAAAAAAAAGAAGGGGAGAAAAAAAAGAGAAAAAAAGGGGAAAAAGGGGAAAATTATATATAGTAGGATAGGGTTCTCAAAAAAACGAACCATCTGGAATTTCGCCGCGTTACATCGAATCGGTCAAAAAATTTGAAGGAGAGGTGTATCAGACTCTAAATATATAAATTTCTAGGGCCGGGGCTCGAGGCAACAGGTGTACCGATTGTCCCGATTTACGCACTAATGGTCGCAATAGGCGCCATTCATCAAAACGTAAGGAACCCGGGGGTCACCCGGCCAGAATCTAAATAACAAAAATCCTGGTTTTTACGAGACATAGCGGTAGTCGTTTAGGAGTTATAACGAAACTACTGTTTTTCCCCGAATTCTGCAAAAATGTTTTTTTGGACTTTGCATCGATTTGCATCAACTTCCGGCTGCGAATCTCTAATTTCGCTTAAGAACTTGGGAATTTTACGTGGTAAATTGGGACGCCCTGTACAAATTACCGTATTTCCTTTAATCTAGCGCCCTCTAATATACGTTTCTGCTTAAGCTTCGTGCTGTTCCTGGGTGGTTTTGAGCAGTTTGTTCCTGGCCGAAATCGAACTCGGACCGTTCGCCTGGCTGTCCCTACCCCAGCCGTGGTGTATTGCAGGTGTGTCGGCGTGCCAATCCAGAGCAGCGCCAGCGCATTTCCGGCCTCCTCTCAGAAGCCGAATTTCGTCTTGCTCTTTTTTGCAAAGGCTTCAGCCTGAAGTCTGGATGCGATTTGATACTCTGGATTTTGATAATAGGCCGATTTTCGAATTGTGGAGCTTTTTCGGACGGTTTTCGGAGCCGTAAATGCGTTATAGCAATTTCATGCCGAACTGACGGGTCATGAGCAATATATCGGTCGATGCAGAATTTTATTGCGCATCTTTCTGTGCTAGTCTCAACGCCCGCCCAAACGGAGACTCGGTAATTCCGGAAAAACGGTATCGTGTACGCGTTACATCTATGTTCCCGCCATTTTCGTGCTTCGCAATGTATTTAAGAGAGGGTTAACACCCAAAATTAGGGCCAGTCACACATTTTGATTTTTTTCGGCCCAGTAACTTCTGAGAAAATTTTGTGCTGTCGGCAACTTTAGCGCCCATTTTAATCCCGCCATAAAAATCAATTTTTAAAACCAAAATAGTGCCAGTTTACTAGTTCGACCATGCTCTTTCCGATGGCATCAAAAAAAAACAGGGTCATAAAAAACTGTGCCAAGCAGTGGTCGGGTCCCTTGCGGACGGCCTTTAAATACTGCCGGTGCGCTTGAGCTAAAAGGGCACCCAAGCGACAGTATGCCTCTTATCTGGTTACGGCGGGAATCTCGGGCTGGCGCGCGTTTATGAGTCATACTTCGCTATCCTCCGACAATTGGCAGCGACTGACAGAGATTTTTGCAATTCTGTGAACACGCGCTAATTAAACACTTTTAATTTGGCAGCTGAGTCGAAAGCTTTGACTTTGTAGGTTTATATCAATGACAACAGGTTTTGACACATAGAATATAAGGACTTAGTAACAAGGGCCTAGCGACGCTAGTTTTTTTAAATATAAGCGACGTGATAGCCCCTAAACCTTGAGCTCGTTTTTGCAGCCTCGATTCTTTTAATTCTGAATAATTCCCAGCCGCTTCCATGGCAGTGGAATGGCTCTTATAAATTAATTCTGATGTGTTTCCAATAGTTATTGGCTTTGCTTGCCTACCCACCTTGCATGGGTTCGGTCTGCTGCAGATACGGAGACAACGACGAAGACGCGAAGCTCCATCGCGTTCCCCTTTTTGACGAAACCCGCTTGCCCAACAATAGTTCATCGACTTCTCAGGGCCTAGGTAAGACTGGGCAGCTCATAGCTTCACTGATACGCGGTTTTCCCCCAACTCTATAAATATAGTTCTATATTATTATTTTCATAGCATTTAGCATCGCCTCCTTTCGGTGATGATCTGCTGAGAAAAGTGGAAGAAATGGCGGACGATAAGAACCAAACCGACCCGAGCAGGTTTGTTTCTAAAAGTACTTATAGTGCTAAAAATTTCCTAGGGCCCAGTGACCTGAAAGCGGCTTCATTACCTTCGACAAGTCCCAAACCGGACGCTGATGAGGCCGCGTGTGAAAGGGCATTTACTACCGTCTCGATTCAGACCATTCGATTTGCATTGCCTGAAAAGGGCTACGATACATCACTCAGCTACCTTGGCGGTGGTACTTATGGTTCTGTAGCGTAGGTTTTCAGTCATGCATATGGTTTTGCTGTCGAATACACTAATACGCAATCTTTTATCACTTTGGTTTGAAAAGGTATGCTTGCAGGAAAGCTAAAATGCGCTCACGTGACGGGACTGAGCGGTTGGTGGCCATCAAGAAGCTGCACGAACCTTTTCGGGACCAAGCTCAGGTATGGGAGGGCCGTGTCCCCTATACACCCTATGGACGGAGGGGGCGCGCAGCCTGCCCGTGGAGGGGAGGCAATCCCTCCCGGGTGAGGCGCCCGGCCCCCGCCAGGTTGCCCCGGGGAGGCCCCGATGGTTGGGGCGCGATTTCTTTCCCAAAACCCCCCTGAATTTAAGGACCGGATAGATCGTGGAATATAAAATAGTTATAACAAACAAAAGTATTAAACGTTGTTTCCATGGAGGACATAGACGGAAATCAAGTTTTCGACATTTTCGACATTTTTACAAAATTTCTTTAGTGCTATTCGACAGAGCGTCGAAAAATATACTAAGAGTTTTGTTTGTAGCAAAAAGAAACGCAAAAAATAGTTAGCTCGGCCCCAACAGTCCGTCCC